GAAATGCAAACCTACCAAAATAGGTTGTGTTGTCTTTTTCAGATCACTGTGTGTTTGAAAACAGGAGTTAAAAGTTAATTGTGTTCTTTTTAAGTAAGAGTCTTTAAGCTGTGGAAAGCTTTGGATCCAGAAGCAAGCCAGAAAGCATCTGTACTAATGCGAATTATCTAACTGATAAGGTAGAAGCTACTGAAACCTGGGCTGCCTATGAAACAAATACAAGGAAATATGGTGTAATTCCTCTGTTTTGCCTGAAATCAATAAGAGTATTTGTATATAAAGGAAATATTTTAAGCAATGACTGACTACCCAGAAGGGGGAGACCTCTGTTCTTTTGTCTTTCAGATCATCAGAGAAAATGGATGCCAGCTGAACAGCATTCAACGTACCATGCATTTACTGGTACAATAGGAATTATTTTTGTGTTCTATGTCCTGTCTTGTGGTGTTTGTCTTGTGGCCAGAATTGTTGTGTTTAATATTTTCATAAGACAGTCTAGTTCAAAATTAAATAGAAGGGTTAAATCAAAAAGTAGATACTTGTTTTATTCAACTTGGAATACAAAGTGTTTGGATAAATCAGGAAAATGTGATATACTGAAGTCTAATACATTTGCTTAAGTAAGAAAAATAAACTTCATTGGCCAGATTTTTTAATTGAAAAATTGCTGTTAAAATTTGCATACCAACAGTCTTTGGAAGCGAGGACATGGAAGGTTAACCCACTCCCCATATTGCACATGGGATCCTTCTGGCTACCTCAGATTTCTAGCCAGAGAGTGGGGAGGGAGGAAAGCTATTGGACACCAGAGGTTGTACCAAGTGGATTCCTCAAAAGTGGGTGTGTTTGTCCTGGTTTGTTGCTCCAAAGCTCTGTATATAAGTTATTTTACTGGAAGGGTGTATATGGCATACATTGAATAATAAGACTAATGTACTGTATAATGGCAATGTGTATATGTTCATTGTTGGGAAAAGGTGTATGAGTGAAGAGTGGAAGTTTCCTTTGTAGGTTAAAAGAAGCCAAGAAGGGGAGAAGGAAAAAGAACAGAACGAGTTAACTGGAAAAAAATAGCTAGCAAGCTCAGTCCAAAGATAAGACGCTGGCCTCATTCAAGGACACTGCTACAGCTAAGACTGGGCTGACAACCAAGAAAAGCGGGGGGGCCTGAATGTGCCCAAGCAACTATGAGATCTGCAAAACACTGCCAGACATTAATGAAATGTGTTAGGTTTCTTTTCTCACAGATAAAAGAAGTGCTACCCATTGTTTCATTGAAACAAGGAGACTGAGTCTACGTAAAGTCCATCAATGAAAGACTGCTTTGGCTCCACACTGGAAAGGCCCTTTCCAAGTCCTGTTAACCGCCAACACCGCTGTGAAGTGCCAAAGACTGCCTACCTGGACCCATGCTTCTCACTGCAAAAAGACCCCTCCACCTCGGGAGGACTCTCCGACTGATAAGCCTATTTCTCCTTCTAGCTGTGCTGTGCCTTCTGGACAGCAGGAAAAAAAAAAAAGACAAGGTGAAGTGCTAGTAACCTCTCCCTTGTCCACTGACAGACCTAATGTGCCTTTGGATTTTTCTAGAAGACACAAAACCATTACAGGGTGATGTGCTAGTAACGTCTTCCCCTGTATGATGCTGAACCACACTGTTTCAGGAAAAGAGAAGAAGGAACACTTGCTTCATTGAAACCACAAAGTCCAGGGATTCCTGACTACAAAAGACATTAAGAACTGACCCTGGTGAAGAAACAAAGAATTATACACTGGCAGGAAGAAACTTGTGGGACCCATGCTTGGGAATGTGGTATTGATTGGATTTTGGGGTTTATTCTACAGGCTGCGCCCTGTGTTTTGGATAAGTCCTTCAGCATGTATTGCCCTCCCTAATTGGATTTTAAATAAGTACCAAAGGCAACTTGTTGCCATTGCCCCTGCCATCTCCTCCATTACACTATTACTCCTGTAACACATCCAAATACAGACAATGCCATATATTTGATAAAACCAATGGCCAAGGCCTTCGCACTTTAGTGATTTATTTAAATATTGGTTGAAAAAAATATTTTTAAGGTTCAGGATATCCCATATAAGTGAACAATTGAATGGAAAAGAATGGATCAGTGGAGATAAAAGTATATGATATCACTACAGTGAACCCCAAGAATCTGTAATTGCAATTGATGGGTTCTATAGCGAAGTAGATATGATGGCTGTTCCTGGAATTTGCACTGTGTTAAATGAGAGAGGCCCTTATTGTTATTTGGTCACCCAATCAGTGAACAATTAAACGAATACCCAAAGAGTTTGTTTTGCCACTGGAAATTTTACCTGCATAGAAATTATTCCAGTGACTAATAATGTTATTTCCGCCCTTAGTTCAATGACCCAGAAGTTGCTGACAGAGATGGTATTGAATATCACTGAGGCTGGGAAGGAATTGCAGTGGGATCTAGCATGTTCAGAAATTCAGGATTTCCTGAATGACCAGCTAATGGCCATTCGGAATGATCTAGAGTATCAGGCTTGGCCCACTGCCTTTACAGACACATCAGGAGTACCATCTGATCTGTGGTCATGGAGACATACTTGGAGACTTTCTGGGTGGAAGTGTGGACGTTCTCAATGCTCCTTCCATGCATATGGACCGGTTAGGGGGCTGTGGGGTCCCACATACCAAATCCTGCTGGGTCCATGGGGAGGATGCATGTGGGATTGGGTAATTCACCGAGACATCTGGGAAATTAGACTACCTGGTATGCCCAATCGATTTTTAGTCAGTGCTCCTGGGATTACATCAGACATTTGGATGGGGTTAGGGAGTCAATGGACATTAGAACCCCCACAGCTTCAGTATAACCATAAACTGAAGCCAGGAGAAGTTGTTACTCTTCATGTCTACGTTTGCTGGGAGGGTAGGGGACAAGGAACTACCCTGACAGGACACTTACTTTTTCAAGCTAATGATAGCTGTGTGTATGGTAAAGCCACCACATTGCAAGACATACATTTTAAATCTCATTACCACTGCAGGCAATCATATTATTTACTGGCCTGCAGGCAGAATTTTCCAAGTAGGCCTTAGGTTCCAGATACCCTTTAATTGGACTAGTTTAGTACCTGATCGATTTCAAAATTTGCTTTCACTGTTACCAGAGGTTCAGAAAGTCTCTGAAGTACAAGGGCAAACTCACATGCTTCAAAATATATATATCAAGTTGAAAAGTATGCCTTTCATACAGCTTATAGAGTGTCCACCTTATGTACTAAGTATGATGTATTGTGTTATATGACTAAGACTGTACAACAACCCCATCATATTATTGCTATGGGAATATTATTGTTTGTGTTGGTGTTAGTGTAGGATTACGTTATTGTTGTTGTAAAGGACGTAATAGTAATACCTTTCATGTCCATGCTCATCATGCATTGTCATTACATCCAATCAAAATCCCTAAGGTTGAAGCATCTGTTGTAGAATCTGAATTCCAAGACTTAATGCAAATAGAGATTTGAAAATGTTTGTTGTACTAGTAGTACAAAATGGGGGGTTGTGGAAGCAGA